TTCTACGACAGACCGGAGGCTAGTCGGTCCAACACACGTGTTCTCGCACGGAGCGGAAACCGCGAAGTTTGAAAGTAGCATTTTAACACGTGGTCTAGCCAGAGGCAAACTGCAGCTCAGCGGCTACGCATAAAACTTTGTGCTTAGCACAAAACTTCGCTCAACAATCAGTTACATCAGCTAACATGTCACGTGGCAAATATTGCCATCAATTGACTAGCTCTTTACTGACTTTTGCTAAGGACATACATTTGCTAAGATTTTTTTATTTTAGAAGTTTCCAGAAAATTGGACACAATTCAACCGGAAACCATCGCATGGTATCTTTTGCTGATGACCTGTTGTTGCTTAGTTGAAGTTCTCTGTGCTAAGTAAATTTATTGCTTAGCTGCTCTATGACATGTGTCCCTCACCAGATTTCTAAACCTTGTGAATGCGTTTTGGACTAAAACTGAAACTACGCCACGTCTTAAAAAGTACATATTGTGACTCCTGTTCAAATAAATGTTAACCGTATTGAGGTTACTTGAGATGTTTTTTCAATTTGAAAGCAAATGATTCTTTACCAACAGCAAATAATAGTGATGCAATATTCTTCGATTTTCATGATTCGTAATGTCGGTTTCACTATAACTTCAATGTGTCTAGTGACTGGCAAATAGAGAAAGTGTCGACGAAGTAGAGCAACTATGTGAACATTAATTCGCATGCAAACACTGTCTATGCGTTTGCGATATAACATTGACACGTTGTAGAAGTGTTAATCAATATTCACTTCAGAGATACAAAAATGTCAAACTCAAATCCTACAGATTGTTGATGAAATTAACTTAACAAAAGACACCTCAAAGATTACTGCGAATGCAATCAATATATAACCGAACAGGCAACGGGAGAACGTCAATTTGAGATTTAAGTATGTACAGGTAAGAAATGCCCAGCATGAAATGCTTACGGCTTTACGTACGTGTACATTACTGCACGACATAAAACGCGTATAATGGCCAATAACTTAACCTAATGGCTTTATTGACCCAACCCAAATAATTCCCAATCACACTGACTCACAAAAATCACGCGTAACCCCGACCCACTGAGATTTCTTTCTCTTATTTTCTTTGGCTTCTATTCTCCAAAACCGTATTTTACGATTTCTATGAGTCTTGATCTTTGGACTTCCCGTGTTGGTATTTTCCAAATATTTCTGATCGCATTTCAGGAGGGTGATTATTCACTTCTCGACGGCACAGCAAATACACCGGTGCTTATAAATATAAGTCCCGTGTTGAGGCCCCCGGTCCGTGCACGCGTTGGATACATCGCACTGGTGCCAACGCAGCAATGTTAGTATCATGTTTATTAGACGAGCCGTCATAATTTCGCGCCGGTGATACGACAGGTAGCGCCGGCGTGGCGGATTCGTGCACAGGTGTCGAGACGACCACGAACAAATTATTATTAGAAAAAATATCATTCCAATTTAGGTCAATATTGTTGCTTTTTCCCCCCTGAGGGTCTTGCTCACCCCTTTCTTCAAGAGGGGTTAAGTGTGATTGTTCGCTGGAAAAGAAATCATAATCTGGTTTAATAGTTTGACATTCCTACAAGATTGCAAGTGTTTAAAGATGTCGCGTAGTCATGAGTACTGTTGTGATCTTAAACCAAAATGTGTTGGCTATCCTATAAGTCTGTCTCCTTTTGGTACCGTCATTGACTTTATAAATACAAGGTTTATTGTTTTATGACATAATCATAAGAGTAACAATTCGATGGAATGGCAGTTAATTTAGTTATAGAAATTGTTTTAAGTTAACTTTTGACTAGTCGATTCACTTAATCAAAACTTGCTCAATCTCATGTCTTTTGAGATTTTGCCCAACACCGGTATGAAGTCATTTTTGGTTAATTTTGCAAAAAAAAATAACAATTGTGAACAACTTTTTTGACCAAGTTTGGAAAAACTCAAATTTGCGCAACTTTTTTTTATTACAGCGTATAGGTGTTTTGCGCCAAATATCGTGAACATGCTAAGCATCAGATCAGTGTGCTAAGTAAAGATAATCAGACAACTAGTCATTCACAATATGCATTACAAGGCATTATTTTGGCAGGCATATTTTCCGTGCTCAGCATTTATTTGTGCATGAAATTATCCGCATCTTATTCTTCTGTTGTTAAACTTGCTGTTATTTTAAGGGTTTTACTAATGTTGTTAGAATTAGCATGCTCACGTGAAAAGAAAAGAGAATACAGACCTTCTAAAATGTTTTCATTATCGAAGCCTTAGAACCTCCACTCCACACCATTTTGCACGACACCACGAAATCTCGACCGTGTATTTGGACCCACCGTACCGTGTCGGTGTGTGCCTAACCTTGTTTGAACAACGAGCAAACCTCCCTCCATTCAGAATCCGAGGGGATACAAAAAAGAGGCCCCGAATTGCTCTTTTGTGCCTCAATATAAACTCTGAATTGGCGACAATTATCGGGCAAGTGCTGATGTAAGGCATTAGCGGGCGCCGTTTAGATGAGCAAAAGCAATCGATGTGTCGATTGTTGGAGAGGGTTTGTCAAGGGGTGAAAAATGGTTGGTCGCCCCCCCCCCCCAAAGAAAGAATCCAGACACAGGTGTTAGTGAACTCTGGTTATGATTCAGGTTTAAAGGCGTGAATTGAATAACGCTCAGGTTGACCTCTTTAAGTTGTTTTCCCAAATCAATATAGCTTGTGTTAAGTTACAGTGACTGAAATTACAGAAATCGGTCTGTGTATATTTTTGGTCGCAGATACATTAAATGGACTTTAAAAAAAGCTTGAATTAAAAATTACAATATGGACACAAGATTGTATAACTTTCAGTGCACAAAAAAAAAGGTTTTAACAAAACTTAAATTTGTTATCTACTCTTCTTTTTACCTACCAAAGAGTAAAGCTCACTCTATGCGAGGGAAAATTCATGGAACAATGGATGAGAAAAAGTGAGATTTATTCGGTATAACAGATCAAGTTTTTCACTAGAATTTCGACTGAAGTGGCTTTCATTTTCAAAGGACTTCAGTCTAAAATTATAGCTTAATCGTCTAGTCCCCGGTTTCACCTTTTTGGAAATTACGAGTAACACGCACGCGTATCAGAACATTTTAAAATTGACCAACTCCCAAGGCAAGTTGTGCATACAAAATGGATTAAATGAACTATTTCGCAATTGGCATCACTATAGGTTTGACGTGTAATTACTCATAACCACACCTTCTAAAAAAGCAGGTCTGCAAGCCGTCTTAGGAATACCATCCCCCTTTGACTGACGTCATCCCTCAATATCGTCTATTCTTGATTCAATATTTCAGGCCTTTGTCTTTTTATGCGTTGACTGCAACGCCTGAAACACACCCATCCCCCACCTTAACATATCTTGGACTTCAACACCCTAGCCATCCCAATCTCTGTATCTGCCCACCTCCGAGTCCGTGCTTGATACCCAGGTCCACGCTTGACCCTTTCCCGTAGCCCTGTCAATCCACCTTCTCGCGGTTTGACAATGCAAGGGGCGATTCGCAAAGCTGCCAAAATATTTTCACTTCATTTCCATACTTAAACCCTGGCGTTGTAATGCAAGGGGCACGCTTGATCGCCTGGGTAAACGAAAAACGGTGGACGCTGGCGACTGGATGGCGCAAACCCACACAAAGCAGGCTCGACCATTCTCTTCCATCTCCTGCCTTTAGTACTAGAAAACTTCACAGGAATTCCCCAAACCGATTCCACTAAAACATATTTACTGAACTAATCTTATAAGAACATCTATTTGTCTGGTATACAGTTTAGAAATGGCAGCGGTACCCACGACTAAAAATACCGTACTGTCCCGAGCGCGGAGCTGTGTACACAGGTCACACCATTTTGCACCAAAAGTCAACACGTTGTACGCTGGCCTATCAGCGGTCAATTTTTGGTAGACTTTTATACGTAACGTATTAACCTCTTTTTGTTACACAGGATGACGGTTTGTTTGCTCTGTGAGTTGAATCATTACGATAACACATGGCATATCCGATGTCCTTCATGTTGCAATATGATTTGGGTTAAATTATCTCTCAGCTGAAATTGCAAGTTACTTTTAGAACTTCCACTTATCAAAGTACAGAAAGACATGATTTGACAGAAGCTAGAAGAAGCCACAAGACAACAAATTATGTTAGGTTCAAAAGTTAGGTCCTCTATAACTATTGCAAATTTAACCGTAACTGGTCTGTGGACCTCAAGTTTGCTCAAGTTTTCCTTCTTTCGTCCAATGTAAAAACCAACTCTTCAACAGACTTCGCCACATAATGTGCGGTAATTTCTAAGATATAAAACATTAGGGCCTATGATGTCAAGTTTTTCCGTTTTACTGTTTTCTGCATCTTTCAGGGTTCAATTCCTCAAGCAATTTGACAGAATATAAAAACCGGAAAACGAAAGAATGAACCAGTTTATAAATAATTGGAGCACGTCATTGCATCGAGATGTTTAAAACCTTGGATTTGGTACGAACTTTGTGTACCAAGTTTAAACGATTGTAATGCAACACTTTAGGGCATAGACAATAATTTGGAAAAGTAGGAAATCATTACGAAATTGGAAATAAAGTATACGTACATAATTCAAACTCCTTAACACCAGCGTTTCGTTTTGATGATAAGTTGAGAAATGTAAAAAGTTTGGGATTTTGTCCTCCATGTATCAGGCTGTAGTACTGTTGAAAGAATAAGGGCAACCCAACTGCGCCATTTCTCTTCGTAAACGTGTTGCAAAATGTTTGTGATTGGCACTTTTTTTCCCATGCACACGGTAGATGCCCGAGAAACGACTGTATGTGGAATCAGACCCTTCTTTGAAAAAGAAGAATTTTATTGCGTGTTAAAGCAATATATTAAACGTGTACGGTCTAACTCATTATAGACTAAAATGTTGGAAACAAAAGACAAAAGTTAAAACATAGGACATCAATTTAACTCACCTTGGACATGCGCCTATCGGCTCCCGTCCCTTCCTCATCTTTGTACAAGATGTCCGCGTTGTTGTTAGGAGGCAGGAGCTCATCGAACTTGGGATTATCTCTGTGGATTCGTCCGTCCGGCGGACCGCTAGCACCCAGCGTGTTCTCCGATACGTTGGGTACCCGCTGGCGGAGTGTCAACGGGGTGGACTGCCGCGGTCCTTTGGACTGCTGGCTGGCCCTCCCCGTGCAGGCTCGCGTAGTGGAGCCCAGGAGAAGACAGGCAAAGGAGACAGTCAAGAGGAGCTTACAAACACCTTGCATGATGACACCTGATTTACAACTGCTCTTTGGAGTCCGCGATCCGATTCAGATGCGTTGCTTAGGCGCGTACTAGGGTAGTTGTCGGTATGGCGACGCCATACCTGTCCGTACTGTAAAACACGGTGTCATTATCTTTCTGATTTATCGACAGGTGTGTAATGAACAGGTGTCATGTACACCTTATCCCAGGTCTAAAAAGATGGCTTCCTGTATAATTGTCCAGAGTTGTAACTTCAACAGGAGTTTAGGAGCCTCGGTCCAGGTTCTGTCATGCTATGACGAGGCGGGAGCGAGTCAGGAGTCGATGGGTATCGAACGCGGCCAGGTGCGACACTGAACTGACGTGTGAGCTGTGCGGAACGAGGCGTGCCCTTTGATGGGCCACCAGGGGTAAAAGACCACCGAATCAGTGCCAGAGACACGTCAAAGATCAACGCGCTGCAGTGTACACAAGAAGGATGATGACGGCTCGGCACAAGCCGGCCCCTGATTGGCCCAGTCGGCATGACAAGTGTCGGCACAGTGTCCAAAGGGCTCGTGATTCGCTTGTTGGAGTTTGGCCAGACCGCATAACTCCAGTGAGCAGGCTCTGGTGCACGTGTGTACTTCACCCACGCACAACACTTCTCAGCCTCGCATGCACTGCCTGCCGCCCTCGTGTTGTAAAAAACAAACTCACATTGGTGAAGATTGTTCAACGATAACAAGTGGCCACAAAAATGCCTTTGACGTGCAGCGGGCAGGCGGCACGAACTATCTTCAATGAAGTCAGGTCAATGTCACGACTGGCTCAAGATTCACAACTTACCCGGATCTACATCCTTAAAATCATTCCCTGATCAGCCCATCAGTAACTCCCCCATCTTGAATATTAAAGATGAATCCAAGTCGAATATACGGTATCCGGATGATGCGGAACAATCCAAAATCCCAAGCAGGAGATGAAAATTGCATCAGCCCAAAGCGATAAGTTGCCCAAGTATCAAACATGAATTGTTGGGCCTTCTGAGAGAGCAAGGCGCTCGGCCAACCTATTAGATGATATCACGTGATGATGCTCGATGACATTACTGCACGTTTAACTCCAACATAATCTCAGACAGCAAGTAAGAACATTGGGGAAAAAACACTCCCATCCAGCTGTTGTGAATGCAGCCAGAAATATGTATCAATCCTTTTCAACCAAAACAAATGCCTGCAAGAAAAAAATAGAAACGTAATGATTTCTAGTTTTGTTTAGATATTGATGAGGGTTCGGGCGTGATAAACTACGGATAATAAATATTGGTTCTGAAAACTTTTCAAATTTATGATTTAAAAAAGAGATATGTTGATGATTAACTTCAAGTTCTTCCCCATGGAGAACACAAAATATTAAGTAAATCTTTAAAACATTTTTTAACATATATCATTTCAGTTTCTGCCTTTGGAGTTTACTCCAAGCAGACATAAAAAATAAAAAAAACATGATAATGTACCGACATTATAATATGTCTGTGCGACACCCTAATCAGTTTTGACTGCTGTTTATCAATGCTGTGTAGCTTTAAAAAAAATGCAATCATGTTATTTTTCAATAATACATTCTGTTATCAAATTCAAGCTCAAGTTCAAATTGAAAGATAACACTTTCCAGTGCTGGACTGCCTTTCGTCTTTCTTATCGACTAATAACTACAATCAGTATAATCTCGACGCATGCGGGCCCGAGGTATTCAAATGCTATAATTGGACAAATGAGTAACCGTTGTCCAATTAGTTGTGTATTGTGGCTATCAGAAAATGTTGATCTTTCTGCATTGCGCGGTCTCGAAGAAAATCGCACTTCTAGACACCCTTTCAGCCATTGTGAAGTTCAAGGGGACTCTTAGCCTAATTTCCAGGCGCTTGTTCATCCGATGTGAAATGTAACGAGCAGCCAAAGCCGCCTATAAACCGCATCGCCGGTAACGTTTCCGTTGCATTGTTGGCGGGGCAGCGACTGGATCGTCGGTTGGACAATCCGCAGTGAATACAAACGTCAACATCCGCGGGCCATTTCGCGCTTATGACATGCGGCCAAGTGCGAGAGAGCTTGAGAGGCTGCAATATTCTCACCATGTAATCCAGTAGAAATTTTCTGAACCTAGAAATCTTCTTTCCTATGAACTTTTTTTGTTGATTTGCATTCCCATGGGGTCCTTGAACAAATTCAGCTTGGTTGCCCAAATGGTACGTTTGGGCAACTCTGCTAATTTGCATAAATTCAAAATGGCCGCCGGACGCCATCTTGGAAATTTATCTTTTGAACCACTTGTCCTAGAATGATGTATAATATATCCATTAAGGGGTTTTGTGATGTGTAGAATCCATTTCTGGGGTTATTTTTTTAATTCAAGGTCAAGTTCAGGTGATAATGGCCAGTTCAAGGTCGAATTTGACCTCTTGGTGGACAATGAAAAAAAATCAACTAAAACTTACACTTTAATAGTTAATGATGCCAAAAATAGATAATCAAACAATATCAGCCCCAATTACCCGTAAAAAATGGTGAGAACTCAAATTTGTGTTATTTTTTTCCATTTCAAGGTCAAGGTCAAGGCTAACTGTCACATTTGTTTTAGATGTTTTGGCACATAAAGGACCCTATACATTGGAGTAAATCTTTGCCGGTGAGTGGGGGAAATTCGACAGGCAGGCTGGAGGGGGGGGGGGCTGGACACCACATTACACTAGGGGGCGCCCTTCAAAATATAGATGTAACAATATATTAACATGTATACTCACGCTTACGGTACATCAAAACTGCGCATTTTTAAAGCTTTTTTTGCTTTTAGTTAAGAAAGATCACAACGGAGGCACGTGGTATTCCAGTCAACAACAAAAACTATGATCTTGGTGATTTCACTCATGCCAAGACAAAACAACAAACTAGTACTACACTGCTTAGGTTTATCTCCAAGCTAATATCAAACGGTGAAGTCACAAAAACATCACTGAGTCTTTCGCAATCCATACAATATCTAATTACCAAAACACGTAACCAAACAACACTTGGGTTGGGTGTCAAACTACACCACAAGTTTGGTAGCAGATATCTCATTGACATCTTAAATGAACATGGATACACTGTGTCTTATGATGAGGTGCTGCGGTTCCGCAAGTCGGCGGCCAAGTATGTAAGTGACAATTCTGCAACGTTGCATGGAATGATGGGGCTTAGTCGGACAGTCGGACTCGTATTTGGCTGGTATGACAACTTCGACTTGCTGGTGTCAACTCCAAATGGTCGACGTGAGACACACCCCTTACAGAAATGTCCCATGAGCATCCCATGGGATTCCCATGGGGTCCCATGGGATTCCCATGGGACCCCATGGGAAACCCATGGGGTCATCAAGAACACCATGTAAGTTAAAATGATCACCATGGGAGATTTTATGCTCATCATGGGAAACCCATGGGAACACCATGGAGATTGCATGGACAACATGGGAACACCATGGGGATTTTACGAGCTCCATTGGAACACCATGGGAACACCATGGGGATTTTATGAGCTCCATGGGAACACCATGGGGATTTTACGGACACCATGGGAACACCATGGGGATTTTATGGACATCATGGGAACACCATGTGGAATTAATGAACACCATGGGAACCCCATGGGAATTTATGGACACCATGGGAACACCATGGGAACCCCATGGCGATTTTATGGACACCATGGGAACACCATGGGGATTTTATGGACACCATGGGAATACCATGCATTGGGATTGTATGTCACCATGGGAACACCATGGGGATTTACTGGACACCATGGGAACATCATGGGGATTTTAGACACATGGGTACACCATGAGGATTCGGACGCCATGGGAACACCATAATGTGGGTGATATAAATTATGGACACAATGGTAACACCATGGAGATTTAAAAGGCAGCACGGGGACACTGCCGGGTTATTCTGGAGAACATGCATGTGCCATGGAAAACCATCATAGACCCAATTGCACTCCCAAATATAGGAAAACCTTTCTTTGATTAATTACTTATTCGCCTAGCTGTAAATTTGAATTCAATTAAAAATATTTCCCTTGTGGTCATAGAGGTTATCAAGAATTCTATTTGTTACGCTGACCATGGGAAACTCCTGTGGATGTTCACCAATTGAACACAATGGGATAAACACCATGGGACACCATGGGAACACCATGGGACACCATGGGACCACCATGGGACCATCATGGGACATTTTTGTGAGAATCGCTTACAATAACGAGTGTTGTAATTGCACATTTTTGAATTTTTCTGTTGACGCCATGGCAACAGAATTTCAGATGCACCCAGCTGGGATTATCGAGACTGGCAGCACTCAGCCTGGTGTCAGTACTCTCATCATTCCTCGCCTCACGACCAAGCAGTCTAAGTCTGTGGGCAATAACAGGGCCATTCCACTTATGCACTATACTGGTCCGAAGAAAGTGAAGCCCCCTGCAGTACCTACTAGCAAGACTGGGATCAGCTAACCAGAAGCCAGGGCGTACTCAAACCTGGGACCACCTATATGTTTGGTCCTCTGATTGATGCACCACCCTCTCACCCAGACACTATCCTCACAACGCTCACTTACATGCAGAGGTCACTGGTTGATATGGGGATGGCATATGTTCATGTTTGCATGGATATGCAGTTGTATGCAGTAACCAAACAGGTGTGCTGGTATCAGCCTATGCAGTTCAAAAATGTCATCACCCATCCTGGTGGGATGCATATTATACAGTCGTTCATTAGCTGCATCGCGAAGCTGATGAAAGGTTCTGCGTTGGAAGTGTATGTTGCCGCAGCATATGGGGGGCTGACCGGTATTTTCAATGGGAAGTCTTGTGGTGTATCAGCAGCACTCTTGAAGCGCTTTCTGTCAACTGGACAAAAGACATTTGAGCAGATAGAGATGTATCTGGAGAGTGCCCGCCTCCATCCCACTGGCAGACACTGGGTGGACAACTTCCTTCTCCCAATGCTCCTAATTCACCAGTTTGAGCGTGCAGAGAGAGAGGGTGACATCTACTTGAAGCATTTGACCATGAAGCGCATGATGAAGTACTTCTTTCTCGCTGGTCATGTGCAGTACGCCCGCTATCTCACGCAGTACCTCCTGGAGATGCGTGCACTCCATGTCGAAGACAAAGTGGACCTTGTCTGTCGGCACCATGATGGATACTGGAACGCTGTCTCTGCTGACCAGTTTGGTGAGCAGACTGCCATCAAGATCGGTAAGGGAGCTCTCAAGGGCATGACCCTTTCGACTGAGCTAGTTTGTGAGTGGATCGACGCCTTCCCTATCACTGTTCACGTCGCAGACCGTGTGGACTTTATCTACTATGACTATACTCCAGGCCAATCGGCGCAGAAGCAGCACAAGGAGGAGTTGAAGCACCGGCGCATCATTGATGCACATGATCGGGGTCTCATTGATGCAGAGGTGGAGAAGTACCTACACCCACTGGAAGATCACCGCCCTCATCTATACAATCCCGTCACTGGCCAACGTGCCTCCGCTGATGTGAATGTGGCGGATTCAATTGTGATTGGAGAAAAGATGGAAAGCAAATACATTGCCAGTCTCCCTGACGGGTTCTACAATGCAATTAGTAGCCCCATCAAGACGATGCATATTCTCAAGAATCAGGGCAAGGGCAACAAGGCCAAGCCAGTAATAGACCTTGAGAACATTTTTCTCCGGCTATTGCTGATTGGTCAGCGGCGGCAGGTGGAGCTTGAGCCTCTGTTTGCCTACGAACTGTGTGCTGTGCCGTCATCGCTCATTGATGGGCATGGTTGTCTCCGTAAAGCCAGTAAGTCTGGTCTGGTCAAACGCCTCGGCGTGCTTGAAGTCTCGCCATCACCTGCTGATATTGTCATCGTGGATGTTTCACAACTGTTCTACCACATTGTGTGGCCACATGGTGGCACTGCCTCAGATCTGATTGCGTCCATCCATGGTCGTTTAAATCGCTATCCAGATGGTACTGAGAAAATTGTTGTCTTTGATAAGTACCAAGATGTCTCTGCCAAAGATCACGAGAGAATGCGGCGAGCTGGTGAAGTTATCATCGATTATGAACTATCCATCACAAGTCCTCTGCCCAAAAGAGATGTAATCCTGCATAGCAAGAATAACAACCGGATGCTGGCGAGCATCTTGT